AACCTTCCAAAACAGAAAGCACCATACTAAAATGGGTTCTGGAGAATTCTACCGAACTTATAAGAAGAAACTCTACAGATTCCTTACAATCTCTTCCAGAAAATACCAGAAGGAATACTTCCCTAATTATTCTATAAATTCAGTATTACCCTAATACCCAAACTAGACAGAGATAGTATAAGAAAACTACAAATCAAATCTCTCAAGAACATGGATACAAAAATTCTCAACAAAATATCAGCAAATTGAATCAAACAATGTATAAAAAGAATAACACACCACAACAAAGTGATATTTATCTCAGGTATGTAAGGCTGTTTCAACATTCAAAAATCAATTAATGTAATCTATCACATCAATAAACTAAAAAAGAAAAAGCACATGATCATATCAGTAGATGCAGAAAATTCATTTGACAAAATCCAATATGCTTTCATGATTAAAATTTTCAGCAAACTAAGTATAAAGGAGAATGTCCTCAATTTGATAAAGAACATTCACAAAAAATCCTATGGCTAACATCATACTTAAAAGTGAGAAACTAGAAAATTACCCACTAAGATCAAGAACAAAACAAGGATGTCCCTTTTCATCACTTGTCAACATCATACTGAAAGTCCTGGCTAGTGTAATAAAGAAAAAGAAATTTAAAAATATATAGATTAGAAAAAAAATTAATTTGTCTTTGTTTGAGACGACATAATTGTCTATGTAGAAAATCCAAAAATCTGAAAGAATTGGTAAAAAAAAAAACTCCTAAAACTAATAGGCAATTATAGCAAGGTTGCAGGATACAATGTAAACATACAAAAGTCAGTCACTTTCCTATATGTCAATGACAAGTGGAATTTGAAATTAAAAACATGATACCATTTGCATTGGCACCCAAAAAAGTGAAATACTTAGGTATAAACCTAACAAATCATGTACAAGATCTATAGAGAAAAACTACAAAAATGTGATGAAAGAAATCAAAAAAGAATTAAATAAATGAAGAGATATACCATGTTCATGAATAGGAAGAATCAATACTGTCAGGGTGTCAGTTCTTCCCGATTTGATCTATAATTCAAAATGACAGCAAGTTATTTTGTGTATAATTGACAAATTGATTCTAACGTTTATATGGAGGGGCAAAAGACCAAGAACAGGCAACACAATATTGAAGGAGAAGAACACAACTAGAAAACTGACATTACTGGACTTCAAGACTTATATTAAAGCTACAGTAATGAAGACAGTGTTGTATTGGTAAAAAAAAAAAAAAAAGACAAATAGATCAATGGAACAGAATTTTGTGGATTTTCGGAGCACTGGGTGGCTCAGTCAGATGCGCGTCTGCCTTCCACTCGGGTCATGGTCCCAGAGTCCTGGGATTGAGGCCTGAGTCAGGCTCCCTGCTTAGTGGGGAGCCTGCTTCGCCCTCTGCCCCTCCCCCTGCTCTTGCTCTCTCTCCCTCTCAAATATACAAATAAAATCTTTAAAAAAAAAAAAGAATTTTGTGGTTTTTCTATAAAGTTCACCTTATATGAAGATGCAAAAGATCCAGAATAACCAACACAATATTTAAGAAGAACAAAGGACTGACACTACCTGATTTCAAGATTTAACTATAAAGCTAATTAAGTCAATAATACAAAAGAACAAATATAGATCAGTGATACAGAATAAAGAATCCAGAAATACACCCATATAAATAGAGCTACCTGATCTTTGACAAAGAAACAAAGGCAGTATAATGGATAATCTTTTCAACAAACGGTGCTGGAACAACTGGATATCCACATGCAAAAAAAAAAAAAAAACTAGACAGAGACTCTTCACAAAAACTAACTCAAAATGGATCATAGACCTAAATGTAAAATGCAAAACTATAAAATTCCTAGATTACATAGAAGAAAATCTAGGTGACCTTAAAATATGTTAATGATTTTTTAGATATAACACCATAAGCCATGAAAGAAAGAACTGATAAGCTGGACTTCATTAAAATTTAAAAAGACACTGTCAAAAGAATGAGAAGGCAAGCCACAGACTGGGGGAAAATATTTGCAAAAGGCGTATCTGTTGAAGGACTATCATCTAACTCAACAATGAAAATGAACAATTAAACTGATTCAAAAGTGGCCAAAAGACCCAGAAGATATAAAGAAGATATAAAGATGGCAAATTAGCATATGAAAATTTCTCAACATTATGTGCCATTAGCAAATTGCAAATTAAAATGAGATAACACTACACATCTGTTAGAATGGTCAAAATCCAGAACACTGACAAGACCAAATGCTGGCAAGGATGCAGAGCAACAGGAACTCTTACTCATTGCTAGTGGAATGAAAAATGGTGTAGCTACTTTGGAAGACAGGTTTTTTACAAAACTAAACATACTCTTACCACATGATCCAGCAATCACACTCTTTGGTATTTAATCAAATGAGCATATAAAAGTTATATGCATATAAAAACTTACACACAAATGTTTATAGCAGTTTTATTCATAATATTCAAAACTTGGAAGCAACCTAAATGTATTTCAGTAGGTGAATAAACTGTGATACATCCAGAGAATGGAACATTACTTAGTGCTAAAAAGAAATGAGCTATCAACCCATGAAAAAACATGGAAAGACCTTAAGTGCATATTATTAAGTGAAAGAAACCAATTTGAAAAGGCTCTATTTCTTTTTTTTTTTTAAGTGAACTCACAACTCCGACATCAAAAGTTGCATGTTCTACCAACTGAGCCAGCCAGCTACTCTGAAAAGGCTCTATTTCTTGACCTGGTTGGTAGTTACATAATTTTTGCTTTTTAAGAATTCACTGAAGTGGGGCGCCTGGGTGGCTCAGTCGTTAAGCGTCTGCCTTCGGCTCAGGTCATGATCCCAGGGTCCTGGGATCGAGTCCCACATCAGGCTCCCTGCTCGGCAGGAAGCCTGCTTCTCGCTCTCCCACTCCCCCTGCTTGTGTTCCTGCTCTCGCTATATCTCTCTCTGTCAAATAAATAAATAAAATATTTTTAAAAAAAAATTAAAAAAAAAAGAATTCACTGAAGTGTACATGAATATTGTGTGGACTTTAATGTGTGACCCACATTTTAAAAATCTATTAAATATCAAAACATCAATACTATTGTAGAGAAATGTACAAGTAAAATCATGACTTAAACAGAGCAGAAACATGATATCCTTCTGTGAAAAGCCATCCTCATCAATTAGTTTCCCCAGGCAAGTTTTTTAAAGCAAATAAAGAAAAATCAAGTAACTTACAGAAGAAGATTGGCACATAACAAAAAGGAAAACAGCAGCTTGTCCTTCTCAAATAGTGATCGGCATATATTACAATATAAGTTGTATGTGAAGTGGTCATTTAAATATCGTAGGCGCTTTTCCAAAATTTTGGATTTGTTACTGAAAGGTTGAAAAACAGGCAAACATATTGAGTCAAACAAAACTAAGAAAAAATAAGTAACACACAAATTAACACATAAGTATTCACTGTTAAAAATATGAAACTAAACACACACACACACACACACACACACGAGTGCATATAAAACTGGTGAAATCTGCAGGTGCCTTGGTGCAAGTCGGTTAAGCAACCAACTCCTGGTTTCAGCTCAGGTCCTGATCTCAGGGTCGTGGGAGGTCACCCTGCAGGGGCTCTGCGCTCAGCATGGAGTCTGCTTGAGTTTCTCTCTGCCCTTCCCTACCATCTCAAATAAATAAATAAAATCTTTAAAAAAGAAGAAAAAAAACTGGTGAAACCTGAATAAGCTCTGTGAATTTCCTGGTTTTGATATTGTACTACAGTAATGCAAAATGTTACCACTGGAGAAACTGAGTGAAGGATACATGGGACCTGCCTATATAGTTTTGTGTTTGTGTGCAACTTCTTGTAAATTATGAGTAAAAAACACAGTATAATTCTATGAGAAAATGAAATTGGGTTTATACCATCTATTTTCAAAATTCTAAACATCTTATTGTATTCCAAAATGACTGAAAACAAATAGTTAATGAAAAGATACCTATATTAAATCCCTATTATGTGAGATTTATGGTGGGCAGGGAACTGTAAGAGACAAAGAAGTATGAAACATTTTTGTCCCAAAGAAACATCAAATCTAGATCAAGATGTATATTTTTTTAAAGATTTTATTTATTTATTTGACAGAGAGAGACACACACACTCAGCGAGAGAGGGAACACAAGCAGGAGCAGAGTGAGAGGGAGAAGCAGGCTTCCCATGGAGCTGGGAGCCTGACGTGGGGCTCGATCCCAGGACCCTGGGATCATGACCTGAGCCGAACGCAGATGCTTAATGACTGAGCCACCCAGGCGCCCCAAGATGTATATATTTTTAAAAAATATATGAAAAGCCAGAAAATATATGGACAAAATGTTACTTCTGGGTGTGGTTATGGCTGATATTTTTCTTCTTTATACTCTTATTTGTTTAAAATTTTGTAATAATCATGTATTATTTTCATTTTTTTTAGTTCAAAAATTTTTCAGTAATACTGAAAGGAATGTAAGATGATACACCCATTCTGGGAAAGTTTGGCAGCTACTTTAAAAAAAAATAAACAAGCAACAACCACATGACCCAGCAATTGCACTCCTGGGCATTTATCCCAGAAACGAAAACTTATATTCACATAAAAACCTGCACAGGCATGTGTATAGCA